GTGTGGTTTTTTTTCCATTTCTTACTACAGGAGTCTTGCTGCTGCTCCACATGTCTGGAGAAGAAAGTGCTTTTTTGCCATTTTGTTAAGATCATGGCATTTAATTTCATAAATTTTTATGACAGACTCATTTTGTTTACTTCCATTCTGTCCAATCAAATATACCTTTGAATGCTTTAAAATGTTGGACAGCTGTGAAATATAAGTACTATGCAATTTGACTGTACATACATACATATTTTCATAAATACATCTGACAGGGACCTTGGAACTAAGTATGTGAGATCATGGGACAAAATCACAACAGGCTGTCTTATTTGTAAAATCTAGATCCAAAGTAAGAAGAGTTGAATTCTATCATGTTGTCAATACACAAATTGAAACAAAAATACAGCATTAGTTTACCCATGAAATAATTTAAACATATTTGCGAATGTCTTGACAGGAAAAGTGTGTCGTTTACAACACTGAAAACTTTTAACAACCATTGACTTCTATGCGCTGTACTGTAAGTCACCCAGACAAGGCTAGCAAGGATGAGCATAGTGATAGGTCCCAAAGGCAACTCCCAAACATCTTCCTCGTGCGGAGACTTTGGTAATTGTCTGTTGCGTCAAACGCCAACGCATATGACTTCATTTCAGGTGTCAGCTTCATCAGTTTTCCTCCCTTGGCACAGTCCAGTCTGACTACGTCAGTTATTGTTGAGACACTCTAAATCCACCGAGCAGCAGACATTCCCATTCTGCACAGACAAACAAGCAGGTGTCAATCACCTCCGCAGAACAAGTCACAAAGAGCAAAGGGGCTGGTGGCACACAGAGATAGGTGCATCCCTTACACATCTACCGCATACAAAAATCTGCCTAAGCCATCAGCCCAAGGCATCCTCATCAGTCCCAGTGTGGTGCTTTTTGAGGAGGCTGACTCTGCCAAATAGCACTGAACTGGCCAGAACTACGCAGGGACTAAAAACCTGGATATGAAAGACTCAGCGGTGCCCATAATAAAATACAGCACAGCCACGTCAACAGAGTTGATTGGATTTCTCTCCCACGCATCTAAGTTAACGGAGAGAGTTTGGATGCGATCCATGCAGGGAAGCTTTCTGTTTGTCTGAAACAAGCAGATAGTTCAGATTCTGGATTCATGGCAGATACGTATGGGGGGTGAAAAACCCCATACGGCACTGGAGTTTAATCCATTGTTAAATATCTTTCTGCAGCATCCAGAAATTTACAAAACCATCTTATGCAATAAAAAACTACAGCAACCACCAAAACCCCAAATGAGCAATTTTTTTTTGCTTTTTTTTAAACCCAGCACAAACCAGTAAGAAAAACTCTGAAGAATGGAGAAAAGCTACCTTCAATAATTTAAAGCCCTGGAGCAAGAGCTTGATTTCCCACAGTGAACAGAACAACATTTTATATAACCAAAACATCATTTTCATAATTCTGATATTAGTGCAGGGGGGTCATCACTGCACGGAGCAAGGGAGAGAGACTGCACTCCTGCATGAGAGCCATTGGATTAAACACATCTTGATGAGATCAGGGAACAGAAACAGTGACATTCCCTTCCCACTTCTGTTGTGCAAGCGCCTTCACCTCTGAGCTGCAATGCGTTTCGTTTCTACTTGTGTTCTTGCTGGTGAAACTTTTATTAGTGTTTTTGCCTGTGCTTACCAGCTCTGTAAAACATATGTTCATGAACATCCACATCAGGCAATTATTAAAATATTAGCCTAGATTCATACTGAGAATGCTTGAAGGGCTCTACAACAGAACGTCTGAAAGTTGCACTAGGATATTACATATCTGCGCTCAACATTTCCAACAAGCACAGAATTGTTTTGTTTCCATCCTTTAAAGCACACGAGGCTCGGGCTTTCTGTCAGCATCTGCCCTCGTGACTTCCCCAAGATCTGACTGTGAGCTTCCAAGCGCAGACAGTGACCCTGATTTTGTGCAGCAACATACATTTCTATTACCATTCTACCTTGCCCATCGTACCTTGCATTTGCAGGTAGTGCAAGGAGATCCCACCATTGTCCACACAGCGCCGCTAAGTCTTGTGATTCCATAGCCATCTAGACAGGTTTTCCTGATGTCGTAGGTGATGTTGTCAGCCAGACAGGGGTCACTGACACAGTGGGGACAGCACTCTCCTTCTGAGATGGCTGTGTACTCGCAGTTTAGATTCGGGCACAGAAGAGGCCAACAATCCACCTCTCCTTCCTGCAAAAATTGAAGCAAAGCTCAGTGAATGTGTTGCCTTTTATTAGCCACGAATAAACTTTGCATCCTGTTGAATGGAAAAGTTTTATTTTGCCAGAACTGAAATAAACTGAATGGATCAGCTCTCAGTTTGGTTGATCATATAAATGCACGTTTGAGCACCGAGCTGAGGTTCCCTAAATGTAGCAGACTATCATTTGGTTGTTTCTCGACTAAACAACAACACTGTCATCATCATAGCAGGGGAACCTGAGTTCTCTGGGGTTTTTAAAGGCAGCATTAAATACTAGGTTCCACTATTTTCCATAAACTATAATTTTTGCAGTGATTGCCTTTGCAGACTCCTGCACTCTTTCTACGCCTGGTCACATAAACATCTCTGCGGGATCACAGCAACTGTTTAAATAGAAAATTAACACTGCAGATGGTTAGTACGTACGAGAAGCATTGAACATTGATCTCACTAGCAACAGCCAAAATTGATTTTAGTGTCAGCTCCCAAAGGAATTGTTAGAGCAATACCAGTTACGTTCCACTGAGTCACTTTATTTTATTATTTAGCTTTGTAAAACAACAGTTTAGTAGAAACATGGAGAAGAGAGAATCATCAAGTCACTTCTGTAGAGCATTGCTCTGGGTGTCTAAACTTCACCTGCAAAGGGCTGCAATAACTGGCATTATGCTACTCCGTAAGCACTTCAGACACTGATAACACCACACCCCACACTGAACCTTACCTGTAGCACCGATTTAGGGCATCACTGTCTTTTAGCTCTGTATGTTAACCCAATTATAAAATTAGGCAAAGAACTGCTAGCCACAAACTCAGTATCCCTTGTAAAACATGTCACACCTAATATTCGCCACTGCTGCTGGCTACACATGTGTCTTGCTCTTCTTTTGCAAACATTAAAAAAAAAAATCTTAGGAGAATACAAAATACCATAGTTACCGCTGTACATTACGGATAATTATCTCTTAACAGTAACTTAGCTTTGAATCTAATTTGTTTCCTGATGCTCAGACACCTCTTGATTAATATCATATATAAAAACTATGTTATACAGACAGCTATAAATGGAAAAACTGATAATTTTAATGAAGTTCACTGCTGCACTAATTAGTATATCTGTGCAAAACTTAAAGCTTTAGGGAAATAATCTACAGTGCCTAATGAAAAAATAAATGTTCTTTATTTTGTATGCTTGTCTAGTAATTTCAGTTTTCTTTATCCCTCTTTTTTTAGATAATTCTTGCTAATTCACCACATGACACTAGCGCTCCATTTTTCCAGCATTGGCTGAATGAAAAAAAAAGCACTGCATTGTCCGTTTTGACAAAACAGGTACACCAGCAGATGTAATTACAAGCTGAAACTCCTCCAACCTAATCCACCGCATGTAAAAAAAAAAATTTAAAAGTCATTTAAAGATCAGATGACCTTATAAAAGTTCTCAAAAGTCGACTAATGCTAACGTTAATACAGTGTCAAGGTTTCCAAGCTTTTGTCAAGCTTTTAATTTTGTTCATTAGACCTACTTATTCAGCAGTAAGAGGAAAATTGATGGTGTAGCTTTCAGTTCTCTGGTGCTCTGTAAGTGCTTTATCATAATTCCTAATCTGAAAAGCAGGTGAAGAGAGAGCCAAGAGCCTGCTTCCACGTAGGCTTTGCTAATAATCACAATCCTTATCATTCTCGCTCCCTTCCAAAACATTTTACCCGTACCAGGCAACGGCACTGCTGACAGCTGTAGGTCCAGTTGTCCCCACTGCGGTAGAGCTTGTGCCCAGTTTGGTCAAGGCACTGGCTGGTGACACGGGTGTCGCACTCCGGGCAGCAGAATAGATCAGCTCTGGGGTTCTCGCAGTCACAGGCTGTCCTCCGGCAGAAAATCCTCCCATCCTGTGAGAACACATTGCCTTGACATCAACCACAAACTGCCCAACAGCAACCCAGAGAAGGTCACAGGGTATATATATACATCAAAGGGCATGTCCTTGGCATATCAGGACATATTAAGTTCTTAACGTATTCAATCTTACCACCACCAAGGACTAGATCCTGCCAGTTGTAATACCTCAAATACCAGTGTTGTTCCAGTTTGTATCAGTGTGTGGATCCAATACTGTCTGAATCTGAGAACACTGTCTTCCTGTCTCCAGCTAACTGAATTTAAAAGAAATCAATATCCCAGAAGAAATATAGTGAAGCAATTTCGTATCTCATTGGTTACCTCAGCAAACTCTTCCAGCAGTTGCCACTCTAATACATACAATATTTGTTTACCACTATTTTGACTGACTGTATCACTGTGAATACCTTGAATCAATAAATTGGAGTTATGAAGGTGGTCCCTTTAACTTGGTAGGAGCACAATATAGCAAAATCACAGTGGCACTAATCATTCTTCCTTCTGAATTCACCACTGGTTCTGTTCCACATCTGGACCTACACTAGACCAGCTTAAAGCTAAATGGACTTCTCATCATCCATTATAATTCTGTTCATGTATTAAAGAGGGTCTGTATTCCACAGGCTCTCCCAAGATGCGATTTTGCTAAAAATATTTGCTTACAGTATTGGATGACCCATTTTGCTAAAGACCATTAAACAGAAATGTCTGAGATAAACAGAACTGCTTTTGCATGTAAATAGAAAAGGATATATTCTCTTCGCATCACAGGAAAACAAATTGATTCTAATTCTAGTTATGAAAATCGGATGGACTATCATGTTTGAAATTATACCCCTTACTGTAGCTGAGCCAACATACTGATATGCCATGTACAGACAGAACTGAAATCACAGCTAACACTGAGGAGATCATTGAAAACTTTTGACATGAAATTCTTTTGCATTCAATGCCAGTTCTTGGATCAGTGCTTATTCAAGCAAAGTGTCCCCTGCAGCCAATTTGAAGGTAGAGTTGTGAGAGGACTGAAGCTATATTCTGCTTTGGATCACAACTGTACAATTCCTAAAACAACTCCACCCATTTCATCGCGGTTTTTCCATATTCTCATCAGAACCTTGTTCTGAGTCTACAAACCCATATCTGACGTAAGAAGAAAAAGTTTTTTCCTTGCCACCAAATAAAGGGATACTTCTCAAAGCAAGGGAATTTCTTTCCTCTTGATCCTTTTAAAAAGTGATTACTAAAAAGAGTGACGGCAGCCCAGCACGTCTTTGCTGCAGGCGGACAAAATAGCCATAACCACAGCATGGAGCATGGGAGGTTGTTTTGTTTGTATTTTGATGTAGAAATCTGTGTTTGGCTCTTCTTTTTAAGCAAAGTCAGGCTTGACCACAGTGCAACATGTACAAACTCAGCATCAGGGAATCACAATACCTGTGTCAGCGTCACTGCTGCATTTCGTCATAGTTTGAATTGATTAGAATATCACTTTCTGTTCTAAGAATAATTAAAACGATTTCTTATGCCTAACAAGGAAAGCTGAAGAGAACACAGAATAATGGAAAAGTAGAAAACATTCTAGGTTAACACGGATCTGAACTGCTTTTGCCAACCGCAGGCCATAGGACTAAATTGCCCTACAGTCTATTCAGTTTTGTATCAGCTTAAGATATCTAAGGATTCTTTACTTGTGGCTAGTTTGCTGCTTTAGCTGTGGGAGAAGGAATAAACAAGCTTTATTTCCTTACTCTGCAGTTTGAGCAAATCGTAAGGTAAGGAAGACTTGCAGTGGGCCATTTCCTTAGCCATAGGTCCGGCCAGGTCCAGCTGCAATGCTGGGAATAAACCCTTTCCACAAAAAAACAAAGAAAGAAGTCATCCTCCCCTTTCAGCAAGGGGTGAAAGAAGGGAGTCGAAAGCCTTCCCTGATGGAGAGTTATCACTAAATTCCATTCTTGCAGGTGGGAAAGCACAACCATCTTCCACCCCTTGCTGAGGATAGACATCCAGCAGCAGCTCAGCACAAAAGCTCTGCCAGGCTGAGTAGCTCCAGGCACGCGGGGTTGCACCAGGCGTCTGGGCAACCCAATGCCCTCGACAATGGCAGTCTCTCTCCACTCCATAACAGAGTCCTGATTAATAATGGCTAACAATAACCTGTCTGCTTGGTTCCAATTCCGTTTCCGAGCTTTCAAGATCAGTTTTCAAATTCCCTTTTCAGCTGGTGACAGTGCTGGTAGTTCTGTGCTCCGCTGAGCTCCGTGCTGTTACCTCTGGGGAGCAGCTAACCTTTTATGTTGCCTTTACTCTCTGTATTTCAGAACACTGACAAAGCCTGATGATTTTGCCACAGACCTTTTGGTAATCATAATACACTGCTACTCTCTTTGTTCTTTAAGCATCTGTGCTTTATCTACAACCTCATTAGTTCAATGCCTTTCAAAAAACATTTTTATCCCTATGCTGCAGTGACACAAAACCTCTTAAGCTACATCTCACTTGTATCTTTGCAGCTCTATAGTAGCATTGAGAGATATATAGAAAGTAACATTTTATTTTGGTGGGTAATAACATATAGCATCTTCATAGTACCTCTCCCTCCCCACCTTCCTCACTGAATCAGTCCTACACGCTTCATAAGCATCAGTGGTATGAACAAAAAATTGTTCTTGCCAAAGGAAAAACTGACACACAAGGGAATCACTGTAAAGGGTGTCTCCAGTTTCCCAAAGCCAGTTTGGACAGAAATCAAACCCTGCAGAAACCAAATCACCCAACTGTTCTCACCCTCAGGAACACCCTTCACCTTGGCACATTCTTCTGTTCCCAGTACTGTGCTTATTCCCCAGGCTTTTGCCATACTGGGAATAGAGGGTTGTCTTAATTAGAGGACAGACTCAAAAGCTGAGATATAGGCAGACTGTACAGCCAGGCTTAGTTTTTTCATGGGTGAGAGCAACAGTTCCCCACTCCCCTTCAAATTTCTACCAATTTAAATTTAATTGCATATTAAATCCACAAGAGTTCTGGAAGATGCCTCTAGAAGACACATCAAATATACCTAAGCTATCTACCATAAGGTATATACTTAAGGCATATACTATATTAATTGATATTTCTGAGAATTTGTTTTAGTAAACTTTATATTCACTCAGATGAATGAGGATGGCTTGAAGAGACTGGGTCAGAAGAAAGACTGAAATAAACCTCTGTGCTTCAGTAATGAAACTTTGCTTCATTATGTAGCTGAAGTAATATAATTTCTCATATTCCATAGTAACCTACTCCACAAATAACCCTACTTAACGAACTGCAAAGTATTTGATTTCCTTTGCACAGGATTTGAAGTTAAAATATTTTCAAGATGGGATGTATGTGCTTCAGCCACTGCACAAAACATATCCATCTGACCTTTCATAATAACAAAAGAAAAGCCAAAAGAAAACATACTATTTTAAATCTGAAATGCTGATTTTTCTTCTAGATAAAACAAGTGAGTAGGATCATTTCAATGTTCGAGTGAGAAGTATAAAGAATGATTTAGTTACACCCTGCCCTTTTCCTCACTGAAAATTGAGCAGGCTGCAAAAAGGTCAAGGGAGGCCAGCTCTCCGTGTGACTGCATGGAAAGGACGGAGTCCTGCAGCAGGTTTGAGAAGCAATCTGGTGTATCAGGAGCTACCACAAATTATCAAAATACGTTTCAATAACATATTTCAATAAACACTGAGTGAAGACTTTACATCCTGCCAGGGATACAGCAGAGGAGGAGCTCTCCCTGTTTCTGCTGTTCTACAGACAAGAATTTGGCTCTTGAAACAAGCAGCTACTGGAATGAAATTAAATGCAAATGTTGATTCACAGAGGAAAAAACTGGAAAGTGAGGAAGAGAGAAAGGAAGAGTCATAGCAACAAATAGTGCCAGGCTTAGTTTAAAATATCTATGCACTAGTTAATCATTTTGTATATTTTCATGTACTAATAAGGGCATTCAACATATGAAATAAGTGCAATGAGAAATGGCAAATAAAACAAACTACAAGCAACCTAAAATGGGAATACTAATAGTTGTAATTCTGCAAAGGCAGACCAGCTGTCTTCACATATATTAAACTGTTTATTCTATTGACTGGAAATCCTTTCATAAGCCAGCCAGTTCCCCAAGATTACCATAAAAGGTTGATATATATTCAGTGGAGTTGTACATTTCAGCTTCTGAAGGGAGGAGTTTTAGGGAGCTTGAGGCTACTTGAAGCAAAAAATATAGCAACTAACAAGAACATATTCCCTTTTGAGCCCAAAACAGCAGTGTACTTTGAGGGCTCTATTCACTCTAAAGTCTTGATTTTCCCTTCTGCTATACTATTGCAATACAGAAATGATGAAGCTTTCAGCTTAGCGCAACTTCAAACCAACTCTTTCCCCTTGTTCCCCCCCAAACCCTTTTGTGCTTCTCTGGCTCGTCAGCATTGACATGGAGACTGATAGGCTAATTCTCTTGCTCTATGTTCAAGCTTTTCACAGTGGCCAAAATCTGATTTTACTTACACTTCTGCAAGGGCCAATAGTGTTTTGCTGTGTCTAAGGAAGCTTTGCCAGTGCTATGAACACATCAGGTCAAAATGGCCGTAAAAGACCAACCATTTCTCAGATCAGTGCATTTCTAAAATTCTTCTAATTTCAATGACAGCATTTCTCTTTTAACTGGTGAAAATGAAGAAAGCAGAGTTAAATGTTCTTTCAACTTGGTCACCACACTCAGACAAGTACTGATAATTTCAGGGGTGTGGGGGAGAGTGGGGGGTGTGTGTGGGAACAAAAAGCTGATTTAAGCATTAAGTCTAAAGGTAGATCTACTTCTATGTGTGGCTTCTCCAAAGGTACAGAGTGTGCTGCAGCGCTCAAGTGGGAGAGCTGCCAACACAGCCAAGCTGGGATGAGGAGGAGAAACCTGGCCTTCACCCTTCTTCACTTGAGGAAATTAAGTGCCTGCTGCTAGGTCCCCTAACCTTTGACTCTTGCTCAGGCCTTTCTTCTCACCCAGCTAATTCACATATATTCCAAGTTAACAGGAAACACCACCAACAGAAAGATGGCTGCCTACAGAGAGAATCATATTCATGTGAAAGAGAAACTGAAACCAGTTTTCAGCATTTCCAGTAAGCGTCCTAATCGCCTGCGCATTGTGCTAAAGGATAACACAAGACCCTCATCAAGGCATGCTCCGAGTGGCCCTGGCCCACAGGGTGACATGGTAGAAGCTCAGCGGGGTTAGTCGTTTTTCAGCTGCATCTGCGGTTGTGCAAAGTAAGAAAAAAGACGACTTCCCAGAATTTCCCCATCACATCTTCAGTGCCCAGAGCAGAGCTTACCTTTTGCCTCAGCGCCTTGGGCTTAGGCCAGTATTTTTGCCAACACCAGTGGCACTGCAATATTGGGTTTCTGACATGAGCCCAGAGACTTCAAGGACTCCCAAAACCCAGGCCAGCTGGATCTCACCTTGCAGGAACAAACGGAGCATCTGTCCTCCCTCAGGGTCCACACCTGCCCATTCCGCTTGAAGCCGCCTTCATGGGGACAGTCTCCAGTGCAAGACGGTCCGGATGGACACAGGCAGTCAAACCCTCCTGCCAGGTTCACACAGGCTGAATCGTTCCAACAGGTGTGGGTCTTTAAGGCACACTCATCAATATCTACAAAACAGCAGATTTATTATGCTTTGGATGTTTTTTTCCACAGTTCAAATTTTATTTCTGCCTTAAGTAATTATTGCTTATCTGCCTTTCTGGTGGAAGAGGGTGCCTTCTTTCTGATATCTTCCATATTTACTTGATAGACATTAAACACTGATTTATTTATTTTTTTTTTAGGTTCTTCAGTGTTTTGATTTCATCAATAATTCTTAAACTATCTCCAGCAGGTTTAATTGCAAATGCTGAGACTGACATACCTAGTGGAACTGTACATCAGTGATGAACTTGAACCTTCAGACAAGGGTGTACAGTGATTTCCCAGTGACTGGAAACTAGGAATCAGAGCGACTTTCTGTCAACTGGACCACTCTCTTCTGGATTTTACACTGAAATAGAAGTGCTCTATTCTTCATAAGTTCCTAGCATGATCAACATTTCCCATACTAAAAGCAATCAATTGCATCATTTTCCCATTGCTGGAAGGTACAAATGAATTGAAAAAGGAAAACAAATAGAAAAGAAAAAAAAAGAACATAAAGAAAGAAATCAGAGGCACCTTATACAGGAAAAAAGTCTTAGAACAAAGCTATGCAGGAGAAGTATGATTTAGCAATGACACAAAGAAATAAGTAACAAAAGAAAATCATTTTACACTAGAGAAAAGTGAATTAGAGTATCCCATTAAAATTGTTTTTGGAGGGTAAAATATAATCACGCAATATGAATTTATCTAGGAAGTTAATGCAGCATTCTTTTTCTTGCAGCGAAAGCCATGAGATTTTTAAGCACATTGTTAAAAACAGGTATTTCTTTCAGAAAATAACTTTGGTCTGTTCTTAGACAGTACGTTGTTAGATTGTCCAGATAAAATACCAATAGACTAGTGGGTCTCTTTTGTTCCAACATGAACAATGAAAACTGTAAGCAACAGTGGGAGGAAGGCTGAAGAAGAAAATCCTTTAGAAGCATGTGATGATTTCTGTCATGAAAATTCCAGAATACAATTATAGGGATTCAGAAATTACAAGGAAGAACCATCACACTTACCATTTAAAATGACCTTATTGCTAGCATGAAATTTATAACTGTTCAGTATTACCCAAGAGTACTTTTAATTCCTCTCTAAAACAACAAATTTAAAAATTCGATAGAATTTAGAAAGAAAAATTACTTAAAGTCTAATACAGGTGGGATGTGATAGCCAGTTGCCCTGCTTTTTGGATAAGTGCCATGGGATCACAAATCATCTCCTCAGAAAGTCAGAACTTAACAAGGCATTAACAATTCTCTCAGTCTGCTGAAGGAAACTCTCTACAACAATCCAATCACTAAATTCCTTCTGACTTGGTTAGTAAAATTCCCAATTTCAATTCATAAATAGACCAGGAACAAGGGGAAATGCGGAAGTGCCCTTGGATTTGACCAAACGCAAAATCAACCTGCACAGCTGAGTCAGGGACGTGGGCCACCAGAAAATGGCTGTTCCTCCTTCTGCTCACAGACCCAAAGGGAAGCTGGAGGCAACTGCGCAGCAGCAGGGCTTCACTCCTGGGCTAACCTGTGGGCCAGTCCTTTGTCAGAGGTGTTCCCAGTGGCCTGATAGCACAATTCAATGCTCGTCACTCAGACTTCCCTAAAAATGGTGTATTTTTCTACCCTGACAGTCTTAATTACCAAAAAAATAACATTATTGCTCTAATGCAGTTACTTAGCAGTAACTGAGTACTTGAAATGCCCACTATCGGTGGTGTAAAAGGTGGTGCACTAAGAGAAATTAAAACTTGTAGACCATTGTTTAACAAGTGCCAGAGTATGACAGGAGGTAAAAACCATGAAGAGTGACATGAATAGAGCTATGAATGAACTGCTATGAAATGAATTATATCCAAACAGCTACTGTAAGACTTAAAATATCCTTTAAAACATCGCATTTTCCTTTCAATCGACTTTGACTTGTATTTGATATTGAAGACAAAGGTACAAATGAAGCATTCACTTTGTCTTTGGTGATTTCACCAAGCATCGTCAATATTCTCTTCCCTATCATATTAAGGGTTCCTTGAACAGCATATATATAGGACGTAGGAGGATCACAGTGCAGATTAGAAGGGTCGCTTTCACAGTTCAAGACTAAAAGGATTTCACAGATGAATATAAAGCCATATTGCCTACAGAGTTCCATGTAATTGCTTTACTTATGACACAGAAATCTAATTCTGTTTCCATGTAATTTAACAGATTTATGGAAAGCCAGATGTTAGCAATTATAGAAATGAACATTATTCATATTCTCAGCAGTACAGACCTGTTCACATCGCACAGAGCCAACTTAATCTGTTAGACATATCCAAAAGGGAAGAACACCCTATTTACGTACTGCTACGGCTGTTCTCCATTTAGCACACATAAAAAGGATGCCTCCATTAAGAGCAGCCCAAACTGGTAAATGGGACTTTCTTGACAAAGAAACCAATCAAGCAAAGCTGAGTAACATAGTGTGAACATAAGTTCCTAATTGCTACTCGGTTTGCTCATTTTTTTCATTCTTTATGCAAATGATGGTTTCTTATTATTTTATGGCATTTATTATTTAAAAGTTTTAGTCATTAATCAAATATAAAAGGCTTGGACACTGCACTCATTTCCAGCTGAACTTTTAATAGAGCTAATTTTCTGAGAACTTCCCTTTGGCAGTTTTTTCTTGTCACTGATTGCATTTCTAAAAGTCGGAACAAACAGCCAACATTCCCAGTAACTTGAGGAAAAGAAGTTACAAGCGTTAACACGGCTTTGTTCCTTTCACTCTTTGTGCCTCAAACCAGATTGGGAGGGTGGGGAAGGAAAACAGCTCTGGACAAAAACTCCCATATTGCTAGCTCCCAGTTAGCTTAAGAAAGTAGTTCTTTTTAATGAAGGTCAAATGAACTTGCTCATATTGACGTGAGAACAGCATGTGGATGGCTATGCAAAACATATAAGAAAATATGCATATGTAGCATGAAATTTCGCTTAACAACTGGAATCAATGTGTCTACTGAGGTGTTGAAAAATAAGTTCAGTTTAAAACTCTGAACACGTCCAAAACAATCTTCTAATGAATATGAAAATTCTATGATAAGACTCCTGCATACAGATTATTTTTGTATTATTCAAATCCTTGCTCAGCTCAAATTCCCCTCACTCCCACCAAGTTTCGTTTGCTTTTCCACAACTGCTCTCAGAAGATGTGGGCCCAAAACTGGAACATTTAATGATGGACAAGGCAAAACTATACAGAAATCTTGTTTCCCATTATAACAAGACTCAGTAGGAAGAAGATTAAATATTCATTTATAAATCAAGCAACTTTGAAGAGCAATGGACAAGTACGTATGTGAAATATCAAGGAGATGCCACAGTCTTTCTCTATATGTAACACAAGAACAAGTTGCCCATTCTGACTTTTAAGGAGATTCAGTTCTTTCATATATCCTGTCAACATGTGAAAACAATCTCATTTTCACGCCTGGAATAGGAGTGTGCAATCTTATTCATTACATTGAGATAATCTGGGGCATAATCTACTAATTAACCCAACTAAAAGCGGCAGAGCTTTACTTCCCTGCTCCACACAGTTCCTTTTTCAAGGAAAAGTGAGGATATAGTGGAAATGACCATAATCAGAAACTTGCTTGTAATGTTAGCCTTATGCTATTTTCTATCAACAACACATAGCCAACAGCAAAGTGATTGTTGCCGAGGCTTGCCACCTCCAACACTGCACAGGACTACCATAAAACCGATCAAGATCTCCACTCTTCAAACACTCCTAATCCGTGCGTCTTTAAACAAATGTACGGCAACAAGCACCTGATCGTACGTACTTTAGCCGCGATGCAACCAGTCACAGCTTGTGGATGGGAAAAGAAAGAATACAAACCACCGAAGATGTGCTCATTTCCCAATATACTCTCAAAGTACATAAAGATAGCTTGTAACACGGGCCGACAAGTCAGAATCAAAATGGAACAGAATAATCCCCTGAGATGCACTTTCCTCTTCCACCCTTTTTGGCTCTAATGAGAAGCAATATTTATCAGATACTATGAGAGGTCCCACGGCCACTGTATTTGAATAGGGTAGAAGACAAGCATGACTGTACATATCAACACAAGTTCATTAACCTGGTTTCACTGAAATTTTAAACCAATCCCTAGCTACTTCATTTCTTAGGTTTCAAAGCTATTCAGGTTTTAATGGTATGACTTTTCTATAGCACCTTAATAAATGTGTGCAAGCAAGTCATGCAGCATGGTGCTCTGTAATATCATAAGCTGTTGCAGAAGAACGAACCCCACTAATGTGCTAATTTTAACTGTTACGGTACATTAAACCATTACAATATAACGTTAACATGAAAAATGTATGCTGGCCTGCCAAAGCAATGTATATACAAGTTAACTAAACACTGTTTTGACATATCATTTTTCACAGGCAACTTGTCACTTAATGTATTTGCCTTCTTTCTAAATCAAAGCGATTTGGACTCATCTTTGAAAAAAAAATCACTAAACAGATTCCTTTTTAGTTAGAAAATATTTTATGATAGTACTTCAATTCTATAGAGACATAATGATCTATTAAAGAGCATTGCATAGTAAATCAGATCCTGAATATAGGATTTGATAACGCTTTCTAGAAATATAGAAATGACTAAACACAATTATCTTGAAGACATGTAACACAACTTTCTCCCAGAATACAGGAATCAGAATTTACTGAATGGGAAAGTATGCAAGATAAAAATTATCTTGCAGGATAAAATCCACAGACACAGACTCTGATATTATGAGCTTCAAGAAATTCTGTGAGTAGAACAGAAGAAATTTGTAAAACAGCAGGTTCTAGAGTTGGTCTAGGATAGTCTGTCCCATACCAAACCTTTCTGTCTACATTCCACTTCTCTAATGACAGATAGAAGAGCAATTCTCAGGCACACAGGAAAATTTTCAAAGGATGGGTCTAGGTTTCTTTTTCACGCAGAAGAGGGGGGGGGTGGAACAAACAAAGAAGGAACCTCCTTTTCTCTTACTTTCTAACCTAGGTAACAGACAACGCTGCAGCATACTACAGAATATATCAAAGCTTCACAAACTGATTTTAAACCCATTCAGACCTGACCCTCAAGCACTGCTGCACCCAGCTTTTGTGGGAGACTAACACATGTGGACCTTCCTCCCACCAGCTGCCAACTCCCACCTTTTTCCAGCCTTCATTTCCCCACAACTGCTACGCTGACCCTGCAGTGAGGTCTAGCTACGCAACCTTGCGGGATGGAATATGTGGTAAATCCTGTAGTTTTCAGTGGGAGAAGGATGTGTGTTAAGCTTCGCTACAAAATTTGCACTGCTTCTTAACGAAAGTTAAAAAATAACCAGCAACTGACAGGACTGCTGCCTTGGTTGATTTTCTGTCTGCACTTGTAAGTCACAATGTGAGATTCAGAAACACGAAACACCATGAAAAAAACAGGAATTCTGTACTCCAGGGTCTGAAGAGCTCTCTACAGACTGGATGCATCTCACTTCACAAGAGACAGAGATTAAAAAGTATAATTTAATATACTTTTACTTTACTGCTGTAGGCAGGAGTAAGCTTTGTGGGATGTTATTAACTTCCGAGAATGCAGCATTTCTTTGTCAGTTTTCCCCTTCTTTTTGTTCTGATAAACTTCAAGGTTATCACTGAAAATTCAGTGGTGAGGGTTTCTTCAATGATTACCTTATGAGGCAGCAGTATTTGGCAACAGGTGCTTAGGGCAAGGAAAAAACAATGTATGCCAGTTGCTTCAATATGGTATCAGTAGGTAGTAGCTAACACTGGGATATGTATCATATGACAACTCATAGTTCTCTGTAAAGTATTTTTGTCTGTTTACCCTAAAGGGTAGCAAAAGGCCCCATTAAAAAAGGAAAAAAAAACAAAAACCCACAAAAAGCATAGCAACTATAGCCTAGATGTTTTAATTGCTAAGCAAACTTTGGTAGCAACTTTGCATAGCAATTGTCTTTTGTCTGCAAGGAGTATTCTTAATAACATATTGCAAAAGGCCATTGCCTCATGAAAACGCTACCGCTGCAAATTAAATTACATTCTCTTAATTTGAGCCCGCTCACCATCACCTTATGAAGCTGACACCTTTTATAAAAGCATGGCCATGGAAATATATTCCCTTTTCAAAGCTACCTTCGGTTGGTATTTTGAGCAATAAAAGAATTTTCCCAAGCTTGAAGTGACCTGGCTAAGTCCTACTTCCCTATTACCCAAGCTCTGGCGCAATATTATGACCTTCCCCGCCACATCCGTTGATTTACATATTCGTCCCTTGCCAGGTGACAAACTCCACTGTTTTCTCCTAGTCAATGAGAATGAAGCTTTCAGAAGCACCGAGGCATCACAACGCCTCCCAAATAGATGTTATTTTTTCAAATGATCCGCAAGCACTGCGGAGACACTGCAAGAAATGACTCGGCTCCAAGACCACCTACATACACATGGAGGGAGCGGGGGTTAATCAATAAATACACAAAGCATCCAGCAAAAGCAACCGGCTGCTTGGGCTTTGGGCAACCTGTCGGAGCCGAGTGCTCCCTCCCACCGCCTCATGATTTTCATATGTTATTATTTTGTGGGGCAGGGTTTAACCTTTTTTTTAATTCCGTTCTTAGCCTATTTATTGTTCTCCATGTTTGTCCTTCAGGGAGGAAAAATAAACGTTTCAAAACATACTGAAGGGCAATGGCCCAAATGCACCTCACGTGCACACCAGGACTGCAGTATACAGGCTGTGATATAGGCCAGGACGAAATGCTGTTGCTAAGCAGATGAACCCTCTTTTATCTGAAATAGAGTGAATGATACTGGCCCTGACTCTAAATACTCCACCATGCAAACAAGCTCTGTAACATGAGGAAAGTCACTGTTCGAAAAACTGAGTTTTAGTTTGAATGTGTAGCGTTATCTATCTGTCATTTTAACCAATTCTCAGTTGCACTCTAAAATAAACATCACAGTTTGAGATTTCTTTGTCAACAGGGGTTAGCAGAATCTTTCAATTAATTTTTAATTGGTTAACCAGTATAATGAAATAAAATAAACTGGTTTATTCTCTTTCTCACTGGTACCCTGCAGCAGATGGTTTAGAAAAGCTATTTTGTTAAAATAACCCTGCTAATTTCACATTCTGTTTACAACTCACATATGGCAAGATGAGCACCTCACCTTACGAACTTCCAGCATGCTGCACAGGTCAAAACGAGGGCAGTTGGTTTTCAGAAAAACTCATCCCCTTCAGTCTCCACAGAATACAGAGCATTTTGGGCTCCTTTCTGCTGCGAGGTAGCCAAGCGCCCTCCCCTTCGGGAGCAACGCAACGCAAGCAATAGTGACCTTCTCAGCAGCCCAGCTTTGCTATGGGCCATGCAAAACCACAGTCTTGTCCCCGCATCTGTCTTTTCCTGAGACCAGCCTGAGCCTTGTACCTTCTTCATCCCAAACCAGCAGCATAAGGTCAGCCCGACAAGGGACGAGGCTCCCCACGCAAGCAGTGCCGGCAGGCCTCAGGAGTGCTACAAACGCCCCTCATCCCCAACTGCCTGAGGGCTTTCTGAAGGTCACGTCACATTGCTTTGACTTCTCACAAAGCAAGGATTTTCAACATTGCTCTGTCTGCCGTTCCTTTTACTGTATTTAAATAAACCAGAGGACAACTCTCAACGCTTGAGAATCTGTTCAGAAATAGATGATGGTCACATGGTGTTTTATAGCTTGTCACAAAATGCTGTAAACTTTGCCATTTTTTACATGGCCAACCCAATGAATTTGACTGCTATGATTTTACTGAGCTCTCCAGCAGGTTAGGACAAGGTGTAAAAAGCTAATATAGCTGGACAATCTACAAAATACTGCTTTTGAAAATAATTATGGTTCTCCTGCATTTTGAAATCATGATGCGATCTGATCCCAAGGATTTCTAACAGCTTAAATTTGTAAAATATGGGAATGTTTGCTACAAGTTACAAGTAACTTTCTATATTTTTATTACAAATTTTTATTTTAACCTTTACTTTAATTGTATACTTTAAATCTTAGAAAGGGACCTTTGCACTTATGGACATGATAAATGAAATTTACAATGTTGAAAAAAAGGCTTTCACAGAAGCAGCAGAAAAGCTTTTAAACAAAATCCACAGAACTGAGTAGTGACTAAGTAACTGAAATTCCAAAGAAAGGGCACAGAACTATGAGCAATTGATCTGTATCTCTAAAGAAGTTAAAACAGGATTCTTTCTAAATAGTTTTAAACTCATCTGATAAAATATCCTACAGAAATTATGTATAAGGCTTCCAAGAATAAGTGAAAAAATTGTAAGGCAGAAGTAAGCCACAATTACCATCTTCACTCTGATTTTATTACTGCTTACTTGCTGTGGTGGCACACAAAGTCTTACACGCAGTCAAGGGCACCCAAACTGCGAGAACCAGCACTAAATCCTCATGGAGCCTCATCCTTCGTCCTCCCATAGAAATACCCAACAAAGTCCTCTGCACCCTTTAGAAATTCATCTCCGTTCATGCTCTTAGGGCCTTACTCTGCAAACATGGTGCATACCGTGACTGATGCTATTTGCATTATTCTAAAAATAAAACGATGAAGATACTGAACCATGCAAAACAAAGAAATCAAGGCAAAGTAGACATACTCCAAATGCACTCTCATATTGCCCTGCTGATATTTGAAAATTGAAAACCAACTCTTCCCCTTTTGCGGCCTGTTATGCTCCCCAGAAACCCTACTGTCATGTCAGGTTTTACAGCAACTTCCTAAGATAAATGGCAAAGCGCAGTAAGTCACACTTTGGATCTCCGACTGCCTCTCTCCTGTAATAACCATTCCGAAATGTGATGCGCCTTGAACTAGCAGCCATGCTGCGCGGCTGGGGATGCGGACAAACACAGACACGCTCGCTTGCATTCTCATTTTAGCCTTAAACACAGTAACTGCTCAGGACAGCACCTCAACAGTGACTTTATAACACCATGCAGAAGGAGGAAAAAAGCGCTATGCTGATCATTGCTTACCAACACAGGACTCCCCGGCAAGAGAATAGCTTCCATTGTCATGGAAACCGCTTCTGCACTCACAGTGGTACCACCCTGGGAGGTTAACACAGCGTGAATGGTTGTGACACTCAATGATCCCCTCTGCACACTCATCAATATCTGCCTCAGAGAAAAACACAAGCCAGCCAGGAATTAATTTCCTTTGACACCAATGCTTTAAGTTTCTTTTGTGTTTTTTTTTTTAAGTTGTTATTTTTTTCTAAGTCTTCCTTTAATAGATGGATCAAGGTTTATCACATTTCCAAACAACAGACACTTAAAACATGACTCACATAACAACAATAAAGAAGAACAATAACACATCATGGAATTTGATACATACAAGACATTCGATTACACCATGATTTGCTTAAAATGCGAAGCCAACATGCAGATTTTTTTGTTCTGTGCTTGGTTGGGGTTTTGTAACTCCGAAGTTACGTTCCTCTGTGCATATAAAGCATTGCAGAGCAGGTTCTCCACTGCAAAGGCAGCTTCCGCAATATTCCTGCTTTACAAACTGCATGTCCCACGACACCTTGGAAAGAACAAGCGCTTTCTTTGGGATTTGTGTTTCGAGCGTTCAGCTGTGATGTTGGCAGCTATCTGGCACTCACGCTGCTCAGAGCACTTTGCAAAGAACAGCTAACCTCTTTTGTTTATATGATCACAATAAATATCTACTGTATGTATAACAGTGCGTGTCAAACAGAAAAAGCAGTCCATGTTTCAGCTGCAATAAAAACATTTGCAAAGGCAAATGACAGCAAGTCTGTAGCAATGGAAGGGTAGGGCAAGATAAATACCCTGCTGAGTTTCAATAAATGCGCTGTTTTTATAAAGCAGTTTTTAAAATTTCTGTAACATGGTGAATAGAGATCTCATAATTGCTAGTAACCTTGGTTAATCACGGCTGGCACCTGGCTGCTTCTCCCCTTTGAGCATTTTTCAGCACATTTTGTAGGGTTGTAATTAAAATTAGCAAATTAATTATATGTTAACCTTGTGGTAATTTAAGAAGCTATTACATTTTCATTCCACTGTTTAGCTCAAGCAATTTTTTTTAATTTTTTTTTAAATCTTGGACAGTTTTCAGCTGGGTACCTTATCAATTAAAATGAATCTCAAATTTTCACAAACATTAGCCTTTTCAATTGAGATTTTTTTCTTGGCAATTGGCACATTTAAAACACGCATAAAATTGTGTACACCAAGCACACGAATTTGGGGAAAATAGGTTCTGAAACTGCATTTGGTTCTGCAAGCATCACAGTACAAATACAAGACTGAGTTAAGGTTATTAAGTAACCACAGAGTGTAGCTTTTATCTCCATTTACAAAGTACATGCACCAATATGGTTTCAGGGACTGCAGTGGAGTCATGTTGATGAATGTTGAAATTGATTTGAATGAAGTATCCTTCAATACAATTCCATTTTCTTATATCTTACAAGAAATACCATAGAATAGAAAAGTTCAATTTTCCGCATTTATGTAACAATATTTATTCTTGTTGAAATATGGCTGAGAAACCTAAACAAATGCCTTTTTCCAGCTTTGTGTTCACCCTTACTCAGGAATGAAGCAAGTTATCTATAACAGGGTTATAACCACTATTTACTTCCAGCTTTATTCAGCTTCCATCTAACAATAAAGTCAATTTTTTTATGTTTTAAAATCTGTCACTGCTGCCACCTTTCCTGTACTTTTTATTTTGTAGAAGCTAATTTTAGTGTTAAAACACTGCACAAATCTAGCTGTCCATCAACGATGAGTGCTGCTTGCAAACTCAAGACACTTTCAATTCATTACAGCAAATGGAATTTATAACCATGATCTTTTCACATGTCATGGCTGATGGAACAAGTTTAATCCTATTTGGAAGGTGAACGACTTTGCTATTGCAGATCAATTGCAAATGAATCCTTCTTGCTTTCTTCTCTTCTCCAGCGTTGTATCGGAGAACGTTCCTGTTTAAAGACTGCTTCCTTGGGTCAGTTCTGTACTGGACCTCTATCCATTCAAATTCACATTTTTAACTTACAAAATCAATAGAGTTTTTCTAAAGTTTATTTCTAAACTTAAGCCCTTTTGAAAGTGTATGTGATTTAGGCTCACGGTATAGGATAATAATTGACTGGCAGATTATTTTTCAGAAAGCCTATCTGCCAGGATACCAAAATTAAGCAGCGGTTTACTTCATGGAAGAAGAGCATCAGTGTATGAGTCCCTCTAGATTATGTCAGAAACGTAAAATAATACATAGAACGATTTCAAGACTAGATGGCTTTCTTATGGCAGTACTATGCCTGTCTATAGCTTTTGTCCACTGATGTTTAGGGAGACACAAAACAATTTCTTAAACCAGCAGAGCTGAGAAAATGGGACTTGCTTTCAGTTGTACAGGTTCTTTCTTCACTTCCTTCATCCTCTCAAACCAGTGGAGTTACACCACCGCTGCCCTGCCCATGCTGGGGACAGAGGGCAAGGGAAAAGCAGATGCCATGCTGCCTGCTTTGGGAAAACGTCATGAAAGACACCACCGATGCAGAAGCAACTATTAAAACAAAAGATCCTTCCAGCTCTGCTCCCTACCATTACCTCTCCTCTCCCAGAGCCTTTTCCAGCTTACAGGAGGTGCCCTGCACCTCTCCACCGCAGGTTAAACTCAGTTCCTTGCTCTCCCAGCTCAGCCTTCCCCGCATGGGCACGTGTGCGTGCTGGAGATGGGCTGGGCTGACGGTGTGGGGAGGAGGATGGGGAAGCAAGCCTTCCCCTGCTTCTGCAGCAGCTTAGTATTCCTTTGGCAACACGTCATTAGCGGCACCATGTAATACAATACGCATGCAGAAGCAGTATAAACAGGGAAAACCATTAGCGGCTTCTCCATTTGTCTAATACATTGCAGTTTCTTATTCCCATGCTTAAAACGATGTACATAAAGACCAAAGGGGAAAAAATACTGTGATTAAGGCCATAAGTTTTTCCTGTGATCCCATGCATTATTTGTAATATATGTATAAACAACTCTGCAGGTATAGGAAAATATTATGGATCTGTTTTAGAAATTCAGAATGATTTAAGATGCTCATAATACCAAGAGCGAACTGCAAATAACAGCTTTATAAAATGGTGCATCATATACCATGACATTACTTAGTTCACCTAATCGATCATTTCCTTCTGGGCATACTATGGCTTTTGAAAACACCTTTTTGAGGACTTTTTCTGCATAGGAAGATGTTGCTATACATAATGGCCAGTTCAGGGAATTGGATTCATTTCACCTTTCTTCATCTTTGCTTTTCCATCTTTAGATCCTAGCGCTGTATTTGCATACTTGCCTCAGGATGCATATCTTTTTATCAAAGTCTGGTTTAGAGTTTTTCTATAGAATTTAAGCTATATATGAACCGTGTGTTTATTTTATGTATGCAGACGCTTACCAGAATACACTACATATACTCACTTCATAAAGTTACATTAAGTCGAAATGAAAGTGTATACCTCTGACCTGAGAGTGAAAACCGTACAAAAATTATAATCATTCTTCAATGCAGCACAGAAAAACCTGTTCAGAAATTCCACAATGGCACAGGCCAGAGGAAACAACGGGCGGACACTTTTTGGCTGTGTTCCCATGCTTTAGGTCTTGCCTGCCCTCGGTGCTCCTGGCAGCAGAGCGAGCACACAGCTCTCAGGGCTCCAGGCTCTGCCTTCCTGCAGCACGGCAGCACCCCGCCACGGAAGGAGGAGCCTGGTCTTCACACGCACATCTTCACCTTGTCGTCCCACATGGCTAAGCCATAGGCGGGAGAAAACACCGTGGGGGACCACCAGGCCCAACCCCCTGCCGAAGCAGGGTCACCTACAGCAGGCTGCACAGGACCTTGTCCAGGCAGGTCTTGAACACCTCCAGAGAAGGAAAGCTTACAGAAGTCAGTGAAAACCCATTCACTGACTCACAAATTTGTATGGGCTCTCTGGATAGCTGCGTTAACGGCTGGATAGTCTGAAACACAGTGCTTGTGAGAAATGGCAAATTTAGTATTTCCTCATGAACCGAAAATTTCCCATAACCTTAATTTGCTTCTGTAGTCCTCAGCTAAATATCTGCACTGCCTTTGCATTACATGTAATACTTTTAATTTCTATCTGTAATTCAACACAAGATATTACTGCTCTTGCCCCCATGGAACTATTTTTGCAGTTTTTTCATTCTAGACTTCTTAGAAAGTTCATGGAAAAGGAGATCCTGTACAGACCATTCCGTTCCCTGCTTTTACCCCCCTCAGTTATTTAACTGTCGTTAGTACAGAATTGTTAATGGAACTGGCAACACTCCACTATAATGGCTTTGCAAAAGCTCAAAACCGGCATATTTTTTGTATTGTAGAATAAAGGCACCAGTTGGTTATGAATAAGCTCTCACAGGATGTTAATCCTGTCCTTTAAGGACAGGTCTGTAATTTTTACTTTTACCATCCCAGCTTCCTGCATTATTCATAAAGGTATTTATGCAGACAAGATAAATAGGATAATTTACCTCAAAATAAAACACAATGGCTTCAGAACCCAGTGTAAAAGTAAAATTAAAATAATTCAATCTTTTCTAATGCTTCATCACTTTTAAGTCACCGTGTGATAATACTGAAAGGAAAACTGTTCAGTGTCATGTAATAGCTAGCAATCTACAGCTGCAATGAGACAGAAGAGTTTTATTGTAGAAGTGTCTGTTCATCAAACTCTTACTCTGCTCTTTTTCATGCAAAAAAATGTAAGATCTTTATCTTTAGCTCTCTGTTGATCAGGAAAAGCATGTACTAACAAGAAAGGATCACACAGGTCTCCAGCTAAAATTGTACCCTGACAGTTAACTCTGTTAGTTCCAGAGCATCACAGCTTTGTTTTCCACCTTAGAGTATTTTTCTTCAAGATAAAAACACCAGAAAAATTCACCCAGCCAACTGAGGTGTAAGTGCTGTGTAAAATACAGCCTCTTCTCATCTCCTGCTCTCAGTTGAGCCTCACTTTCACGAGACAGAGAGAACAAGAACGGGACGTCACCGACCGCACCACGCAAACAGCTTCCCCGCTGCAAAGGAGGCATTCGACTGCTT